CCTCATTGGCTGAGTACTACAGAGATTACAGCCTTACCTGGAAGCTGCCTATGCCCATGTAAGCAAAAAGTACCTTCCTCGAGATAGAGACTTCAGTTCTCTGGTGCATGCTCATTGCAAAGCCCTGGAAAAATAAGCCTGGGAAATGGAGAGTGGAAGAAGAACCTGAAAGTGAAGTATCTAAGGGTTTGGGACTCCACTGTGTGCGTGTTGGGGGTTCGTACATAGTTCCAACAGGTTTACTGTTAACTATACAGCATGGCTTTTATCTGGTATTTCCGAAAATGAATCCTCTCACTTCTCACTGAAACTGCACCTTTTTAAAAAAATGTTTATTTATTTTTGAGAGAGAGACAGAGAGACAGAGAGAAAGAGCATCCGTGAGTGAGCAGGGGAGGGGCAGAGAGAGAGGGAGAGGGAGAGAGAGAATCCGAAGCAGTCTCCAAGCTGTCAGCACAGAGCCCGGAGTGGGGCTCGAACCCACTAACTGTGAGATCATGACTTAAGCAGAAGTCAGATGCTTAACTGAGGTGCCCCTGAAGCTGCATCTTTAAGGAACAAAAGGGTTGTGTTGACAGCGGGGAGGGGCTATGAAAATGGGTTCTGCAGAGAAGCCTTCAGCCATGGAGGGACCGGCACTCTACCTGGGTGGTGTGGGGCATTGCTCTGACTGACGTGATGACCATTGTGCTGTGTTTCTGATAGAAGTCAGCTTAAAACTTGCCCCACTTCTTCTGCCAAGGGCCCTCTTCCTCCTCCGAAGGAGGAACTTAGTTTATTCTTTTTTTTTAATTTATGGTCACCATGCCCGTGGGAGAGTCAAGGTGATCGTGGGAGGCAGCATGATAACAGGAGGTAGGGCAACACTTGGAATCTGCTGGACTTGGGTACAAATCCAAGTTCTGTCCTTTATTGGGGAATAAGATTAGAATCCATTTAAATGAACATTACATCTCAGTGGGATTAAGTAAATGCTCCCATCTCTTTTCCTGCAGGCTGTGAACAAGATCTCAGCAAGGCCTTGGAGCTGGGCAAAGAGACTCAAGGGTCCAGAGTCTGGAAGGGTCCAGAGTTGGAAGAGGGGCAGGGGAAATTGTTTTCCAACTGGTTGAGAAGATGGGTCTGTCTGCAGGTGCAGCTGCTGGAGGGCTAGTCCCTCGGGCTGAGCCGCAGCCCCCACACTGCACGGGAGGAGACAGACTTAGAGCCAGCTTGGAGGCTGCTCCCCTGCCAGATAAAGATCTGTGACTGGCAGCTCCAGATCGACCGGCCTTCCTGATTCCTGTTCCAGGGCAAAGGTCACTCAGCCATTTGAATCGTCTTTTGTTTTTTCTTCCTCTCCAGCTTTGTTTACCTTATAAGGAAGGTCAACATTACCAAGTCGAAAGTGCCTGTTATCTTCCCCTCGGTTTCAACAAATAGTTCCCTGAGCCAGAACAGTCGGTGTGAAAGATGGCTGGGCATTCAATCTTGCTGGCCGCTGTCTCAGTCTTGTCCGCCTGTCAACAAAGTAAGTCTCGGGCCGCGTGTGTGCGTGTGTGGCAGAGGGAGGGAGGTCCAGATTTTGAGTTTCATACTTGCTGGTGCCCATGAGTGTGTGAGTGCCCGCTCCACTCTGGGTCATCAGCGCCTCCATCCCTGGGAACAGATTTGGAACATTCCAAGGATTAGTTCTCCCAAAGGGGACGTGGTAGGCTTTCTGAGCCCAGCGATTCTGCATTGTTTGTGGTTCCCACCGCCAGCCCAGTTCAAATGAGGGTAGAAGCGCACTAGCTATTAATGTGGAATGTGCCAAAGGAAACATTGTACCTGCTTGTAAACCGTGGCTGCCATTTCTTAAACACTGATCTTTTAATTAGTGTTTTCTTAAATAAACTGCCTATGGCAGGTACGATAATCAGGTCTAAAAAAATCTGCAGAAACACGAGCTTCAGGTTAAGTGACGCATCTAACTTTTAAAGCACCGTCCCACTAGGATTATTCGATATCTCGACTGCCTGGTTATGTAAAGGGCATTTGCTCCACAGGGGTCACATTTGCTCGGTTCTTATCATCTTATCCATGATCACCAACTTCACATGCTAAATGGGGAAAAAAGTCTGGGCACGGGTGAGCAAGACTCGGAACCAACCATGCATACTTCTTTATTTTTCCAAGTGCGCTCCTACCAGGAAGGGGGCAGAGCTGAGGACTGCTCAGGGTGCATGGGATAAAGTCCAGGCCCGCATGCACACTTCGTGTCTTGCCTAACCGGTCTGTTTTATGAGTTTATGAAACTGTTCTACCACAGGATACACATTTTGTGGTTGGATTCACAGTGTTTTCCGGAGTAGTGGAGTAGAGCAGGATTTTTATCGCCAACTAAAGCAACACTTAGGTCTCAAGTGCCCCTGTGCTGACCCCATGGTTCACATACCACTACACGTGAGCACTGCCGACCCCCGTGTGCCCTCATTCTGGTGCTGTGGGGAGCCCGGGAACAGGTCCACAGATGCCCCAGACAGAGCCTCTGTCAGCCTCACAGAGAGGTTTCTGTTTGCTGGTGGGTGCAGGGCTCTGCGAGAACTGTGGCCAGAGGTTAGGTGGGGGTGGGGAGAGGAGAGGAGACTGGGACAGTGGTGGCTGGTGGTGTTAGAAAGCAGAATTGAACTGGGTAAAATGTCAAGATCTTATTGGTTTATGGGGTGCCTGGGTGGCTCTGTTGGTTAAGCCTTCGAGTTCGGCTCAGGTCATGATCTTGAGGTCCGTGAGTTCGAGCCTCGCGTCGGGTGGGGTGCTGACAGCTCAGAGCCTGGAGCCTGCTTGGGATTCTGTGTCTCCTTCTTTCTCTGACCCTCCCTCCCTCACATTCTGTCTCTCTGTCTCTCTCTCTCAAAAATCAATGAAGATTAAAAAAAATTTTGAAGATCTTATTGGCTTTATTCAATGAGTCCTGAATCAGGCAGCATCCCATCTAGCAGGTAGAAAGGCGCTCTGGAGAGCTGTGCAAAGTGAAAGACTTTTACAGGCAGAAGGGGGCAGAACAGGAAGTTGCTAGTTTGTGATTATTTGTGGCAAAGGTCGTCTCCTTTTAGGGAATGGCAAGAGTCTGTCAGGCAGATTGCCTCTGTGGTGCTAACCACGTAATTCCAGATTGGCTGGTTTAAGATTCCACTTTTGGGAGAGGTTGAAACCGTAATTAAGTGAGGTGTTATGTCTAGGATTGGTGATGTTAGCATAGATGACTCCATTTTGAGCCTGTTGTCTCTTTTTTTAACAGTGATAGACAGGGAACATTTACTGGTTGGGTGGGGGAGAGAGAAAGGGAGAAGCAAAGAAAGAAAGAAAGAAACAAAGAAACAAAGAAAGAAAGAAAAGACATAACTGTTTGGTTGGCATTAAGAACCAGAATTTGCTGCTTCTACAGAAGTCTGGTGTTTATGTAGAGAGGGGCCCGCATACCATGGTAGAAGCAGGTTGAGTTTTGAAGACAGACAATCCCACATCTGTCCAGTTCACACACTTAACAAGCTGGGTGCGCCTGGCCAGGATATTCTGTCCTTCAGTGTCCTCATCAAAGAAGGCTAAGCAGGGGTGCCTGGGTGGTTCAGTTAGTTGACTGTCTGACTTTGGCTCAGGTCATGGTCTCGTGGTTTGTGGGTTCAGGCCCCATGTTGGGCTTTGCACTGACAGCACAGAGTCTGCTTGGGATTCTGTGTCTCCCTCTCTCTCTGCCCCTCCCTTGCTAGTGCTTCCTCTCTCTAAACACACGCACACACACAAACAAACAAACATTAAAAAAAGGAGGGTCGGACAGGACACTGGGTGAGAAGTGCCCACCAGCATCCTTGGCCTGGGGTTGGCACTCAGCATGACTAGTCCCCATCATCGCTGCTTCCCCACAGAAGGAAGCTGCTGCTGGACTGAGAGGCAGCCACACGATGGGAAAGAAGGCTGGCTGCGGCTGGGGAAGGGTAGGTGGCATGGTGGGACAGGAAGGGTTCTCGATTCACTCTCCCTGGCACGCATGTGCCCCTCTGGAGAAAGTGAAGGACACAGGAAAGACAGGCCAAGCAAAGGGAGAGTATTCTCAAGTAGTTTTTTTTTTTTTTTAAACGTTTATTTATTTTTGAGAGAGAGAGAGAGAGAGAGGGAGAGAGAAAGACAGAGCATGAGCAGGGGAGGGGCAGAGAGAGAGAGACACAGAATCTGAAGCAGCAGGCTCTGAGCTCCCTGCACAGAGCCAGACATGGGGTGTGAACTCATGAACCACGAGATCGTGACCTGAGCCAAAGTCAGATGCTTGACTGGCTGAGCCACCTAGGCACCCCTCAGGTATTTTTAAAGTGATGTTAGGAGGGGAAAGAAAATTGCACTCCAGAAAAGGTAAAAGAGCCTTTCTGCCCTCATCCCGTTATCCCCGCGGTAGCCATGGTCTCTCTAAGGCCCCTGACCTGAAAGAAGAGAGGGGCTTCTCCTCCTTGGGACTGTGTTGGCCCAACTGAATCCTTCTGCCTGCAGCTGTGGGTGGGCTGGTTGGGGAGCATCCAAACAGCTCTGCCCCCGACTGAAGCTCTTTCCTCACATTTGCTGCCTTTACAGACAGGTGCAACCAGGTGCTATGAATAGCCGTGAGGGAGACAGACCTTCCTAAGCTTTCGCGTAGTCACAGCTTCGTCTCGAAGCTCTGGGTTCTTGCACCATCGCCAATGTGTAAATCAAGGAGTGCACATCTTTCATGGTTCCCTTCTTACAGATGGAAGCAAGAAGCCTTACCGAGTGTTTTCTCCAAGGCTGTGGAACAACTTAGAAACAGTGGGAGCAGCGGGGTGCAGATCGGCAAGGGCCTGCAGATTTTCTCGGCTGCAGTCAGATCTCCTTTCTGGCTCCAGGCGGACCCTTGAGTTATTGGCCCCTCTGGATTTATGCTGCCTTGAGAGGATTTAGCCCGGGGTTGGAAACAGTGCCCAGTCCCACATTTTCGGTCTCTTCACTGTGCTCTCTCAGGGTTCAGGGATGCCACTGCAGTTTGAATGAGAGACTCTAGTCCTAAGTATTTACACCCTTTTAGACGTTCAGCTACAGCTTTTAGATCCTGAGCAACAGTTTACTCATAGCAGAGAGGAATTCAGGGGAAGGGAATAGTCCCGCTCTGTGAGGCCTTACTAACCCAGGCTCGCTATTTACTGACTTGTCAGAGGGGAGATCATATTGTTTCTCTGGAGGAAATGCATCGCACCTGATACTGTCACACAAGCTAAAAACTTGGTGTGGAAAAGGAAACTGGTATTGAAACATTAGCAAGTAGGAAAGGGACATGGAGGTATTAAAAGAAGTGAGACCAGAAGAGCGTTGGAGGGACCTGGAAAGGAACTGTGGCTGGAAGACATCATCCGGAGGGAACTAATAGGCCCCAGTGCTAATCATGGTGTAAAAGGAGGGCGAGAAGGACAGGAGGTGAGAATAACTGACCAAGGAGGAAGTGTGGGTCCAAAAGTGAATGAGGTTTATGGGATTGACCGTCAGATGTAAGTGACTCCAGCACAGGGTTGGATGATCTAACGCAACAGCTGTGGCCAATGAAGGACAACAAAGTCATGATCATTTTATAGTAGCGAAACTGAGTCACACAGGAAGCCATCATCCTCCAAAGTTTTCTTGTGACCCTCCCTCCTGGCTCTCATCATGTCCAGGCAGCCACTGATCCGTTTTAGGTCACTGCGGATTCATTTGCATTTTTGAGAATTTTATGTAAATGAAACTGTACAGTAATATTCTCTTCTGATCTTGCTGCTTTCATCCAACATAATTAGTGTGAAGTTCATCCATGTTGTTTCATGTATCAATAGTTAATTCTTTTTTTTTTTTAAGTTTATTCATTCATTTTGAGAGACAGAGTAGGTGAGTGGGGGAAGGGCAGAGAGAGGGAAAGAGAATCCCAAGCAGGCTCTGCACTGTCAGCCCAGAGACCTACGTGGGTCTCAAACTCATAAGCCGTGAGAGCATGACCTGAGCTGAAACCAAGAGTCAGACGCTTAACCGACTGAGCCACCCAGGTGCCCCAACAGTTCATTCCTTTTTACTGTCTTACAGTATTTCTCTTATATAGATATGGCATATATACCACAATTTGTTTATCCATTAGTTTGTTGATCAACATTTGTGTTAGGGTTCTCCAGAGAAGCAGAACCAATACAGCAGATGCACACACACAAACACACACACACACACACACACTCACTCACTCACTCACACAGAGGCATTTATTTTTAAAAATTGATTCGTGCCACTGCGGGGGCTGGAGGCTCTGAAATTTGCAGGGTGGGCTGGAAGGCTGGAAATTCCAGCAAGAGTTGTTGTTGCAGTATTGAGTCTCAAGGCAGTGTGGAGGCAGAATTCTTTTTTCTTTGGGTAATGTCCATCTGTTCCCTTCAGGCCTTCAACTGATTGGATTAGGCCCACCACATCAAGGAGTGGCTTTACTCAGAGTCTACTGATGTAAATGTTCATCATATTCCAAAAATATCTTCACAGAACCATCTAGATTGGTGTTTGACCAAGCAGCTGGGCACCATGGCCTAGGCTACTTGACACAAAATTAACCATCACAGAGTTGTTGCTAATTTTTGGCTATTATGAATAAAGATGCTATGAATATTTGTGTACAAGTCTTTGTATGGACATATAATTTAATTTTTCTTGGCGAAATCACTAGGAGTGGAGTGACTGGCTATACAATCTACGTATGTCTAAGTAGAAAATCCCTTCCAAATGGTTTCCCAAAGTGATTATCCCATTTTACATTCCTGCCAGAGTCTTTGAGAATTCTCTTTGCTCTTATAGCCTCACCTGTCTTTTTTAATTGATATGGTCTGTCTTTTGAATTTTAAACATCTTAATACGTATGCAGTGGTATCTAATTATGGTTTGAAGTTGTGTTTTTCTAATGAATAGTGATGTGCCACATTTTAATTGTTAATTCCTCTATACTTGCAGGTTATTTTGCTTTGCATGTAGGAAAGGCAAGATTAAAATACAAAGTTACAGCCCCAGCAGTCTCTGGGTCACCAGAGTTTGAGAGAATATTTCGTGCACAGTAAGTAATGCTTCCTCCACCCTTCAGTGGTCACATATAGACGATTCTGATCAGGGGAAAGATGTGCAGAGAAGATATCTCATTGTAACAAACCAGTCTTCACAGCCATGCCCCTTCTCATGATGCTCAAAGCTTGAAGTATTTAGTACATGGAGCCTTTATCCACCTATGTTATGAATTCAGAGGATGCATTTACAGAAAAGGCAGGGATCTTAAGAATGACTGGTATACACCTTTAAGGATGGCAGTTTGGTTAAAGAGCCCCTCCAGTACCCTTAGAATTCAATAGCCTCAAGCTGGATTAGCTATGACATCCATCTTCTATCTTAATTTTTCCTTTCTCCTTGAAACAGAGGAGGGTCATTATCATCCTCTGCCCATGAACCATTTCCTGAAATCCAAAGCGTGTAAGAATGAGAAAGCTTCCCATTTCATACATACTTGTAGTGATTTTGATCATCTTGTCTTTTCAGATCTCTACAGAATGTTCTGCAGCAGCCACACCATGAGTTTGGTTGCTGCAGATGCTAGGGCTCCCTTTTTATTTCATCCCCCAGATAAGTGCTTTTAGAAACATTGCACACGTCACCATTTATATATCATTCTATTCTTTTGTTAACACTGTGGGATTTTTCATCTCTGTCATGAGTGACGTGGGCCTATAATTTTCCTTTCTTATATGATGTTTGTCCCATTTTGATATCAAGATTATACTAGTCTCATGCAATGAGTTAGAGAATTATTCTCTCAGAGAATTTTAATAAGATTGGAAGAGTGTGTTCCTTCCAAGTTCTTAGAATTCGCCTATAAAATGATCTGAACCTGGTGTTTGCCTTGTGGAAAAATGTTAAACTATGGAATTTTATTTCTTTAATGATAAGTGGGTTATTCAGCTTTTTGTACATCTTGAATCACTCTGGGCAAGTCATGATCCTTGAGCTGACAGCATTGTTCTCTTGTCCATCTCTTTGCTTCAACAAGGGTTGCACAGACTACTCTCTAGGCTTGAGCATTGGGATGAATACCACTGTTGGTAGAAGAG